TTCAGCATCATAAGCCCACTCTCGGACACCATCAATCAAAGAATCCACTATTTCATATCTCTCTTTTAATTTATCTGCAAAATTGAGGAACTCCTTCGTGATTTCAAGCTCGTGTTCGATCCATTGAACTTGGTCACGGGCTCCTAAGAGTAGCATACGCTCTTCATTCAATTTTTCTAACAAAGATTTGATCACAGAGGCAGCCATCTCTCCCTATCTCCAGCAATGAGTTGCCCTCTTTCAAGCTACGCACAAATTTTTGCAGGCTTCTTTATTTGGTGCTTATCTCCAAGAAAGAGTTAGATTGAGATCGCTTAATGGCCCCTTCGAAGCAGTGCATAATTTTTGCAGGCTTTATACTTTCTTTCCAGTGCTTTGCTGTGTGGCCCCAAAACGATTTCCACCACTTGTGGATTTGTCGGTTGGTGTCGTTTGGAATGTGGTAAGTAGCAATTTTTTCCTTTAGTTTATTTTTGTTTTATAACTGTGATTGTTTGAATCCACTTTCGTGGAACTTTCTAAATTGCTTTAAATAATGCGTTGCAGAAAAAAAAGTGGAAACAGTTCTCCTTCGATTATGAATTATTCTCACTTTCCAGCTGTGATTCTTTCGAATTCTCCTCCATTTTCTCTCAAACTCTTGACTACGGCCCCCATTAACATAATGCAGTGTGACTTTACAAAGGTTCCATTTTTGACACGCCATGGCTTAAAATATAAGGAAAATTTATGTGCGGACCAGAAAAATTTTCTGGAATTATTTGTTGCTTCGTAATTTACAAAATTTTGTTCGGAGGTCGGTCTTTTTGCCATTTACTTTAATCAAGTTTTGCCTCCTCCATTATTATGTTGTCGACAAGGGACTAGTTTTGTTTTTTTTTTTTCCTTTCTTCTCTTCTTTTTTTTTTTTTTTGTTTTTTTTGTTTTTGGCACTCTTGGACTGCCCGATAAGCTAGATATCGGACGTCACCAATTCTAGGGTGCTCTGATGTTTCAAACTATAGACTTCCCCAAGGTTGGCACTTAGATGTATGAGACACCAAACTCGTCTCCATACTTAAAACTATGTCAAGTTTGGAGTTCTTTGTCGTCTCAAACATCGAACCACCTTAAACTTAAAAATATGTGTATGAAGAGGTCCGATGTCTCAAACATCGAATTGCTCAACCTTGGGCCAATCCAATGCTTGAAGCATTAGACTAATCCATTGAGGCTATCTGATCAATCAGAAGATACTAAAGTTCAACAAAATTTTAAAAAAATCTTTTCTATACCAAAAAAAATTTATGGTAGCTTGGAAATTTACTTTCATCCCTAATTATAAAATTTTATGCTTTAAAACCAATGTAGAGCAAGTAGATCTATAAACACTTGAAAATTGACAGTCTAGAAACAAGATGCACTATTCCAAGACTTGAAGTCTGTTTTTACATGTATCTCAAAGTCGAGATGATTTGATTTTGGCGCTTTTCAGCAATGAAAAAATATTTCTAGTGAATTTTTTATGTGTGTCATAATTTGTTTGTTTAGAGCCTTAACCTTATATAAACTTTTTCCATATTTAAAACTTTTGCTAGTGAGGGGCAAAATTTTTGTTTGTTGGTGAGAAGAGTGCTTGAAACTTGGCTAAAGAAAATTTGGAAGAGGAAACCAATTCATACCATTGTGTCTCTTCCACCATGTTCCATCTTGTCCGTGACTCTTTTTTATTTCTCCCTCTCCCACTTTGAAAACCCCAAGTCCTAATCAAATAAATAATTTAGAAAAATTATAATTGATATTCTCTATGAGCAATTCGAGACAGTTTACATTAGTTGGACAAAGTATAGAACAAAACAAGATCAAAGTTGAATAAAATAAAATTGTTTCCACTCATCAGGGCACTAAATCCTCTGTGATCCTCAATGAACCCATGATATTGATGTGCAGGATTGTTATTCAAGACCCCTAATAAGATGGGATGAGGACAATGAAAAAACAAAAGATGGAAGGAGAGAAAACAATGAATGACAACCGCACAGTGAACAAATCTAAAAGAAATACCCCAAAAGAACACCGAGCTTCATGCGTCATCAGTAATGTGATTATGTCAACTAGCAAAGAAGATCAGTTAGACCTTATATGTTGTCTCAAGCCCTAACTATACCCAAGGATCTGTATGCATAAGGTAAAAACTCCATAGAAACCTTTTTTTTTAATCGGGCACTCCCGCGCAAATTAATTTTGCATATAATTTCTGTTAGGAGTGACGACCTCAGGCACAGCAGACCCTCATATTTCGAGCAGCATCGAAAGAGGGTGGGACGTCCTTAGAATGAATGGCTAGTTACACCATAGAATTCGAAAAGAGGGTGTGATTTGCCTAAGGTTACAACATTAGGCAATTGAAGTAAGGTGCACATCCAAATTTTATCATAAGATATAATTTTGGTGTAAAAATTTCTTAGAATGGCCTGAGAATCTATTTTGATATCCAATTATAAAAATTTAAACAAATCAAGTGTATCCGTAAACAAATGAAAATCTTCAAAATGGACGGTCCAAATGATATGTCGCAAGATGCACAACTTTTGGGACGATAACTTCTTTTCTTTTCTTTTCTTTTTTCATATCCATATATCTTGGTAACAAGGTGATCTATTATGGAGCTTTCCAACATAGGTTTTAGGTTTTTGAGGTACCCCTTAATTTATACAATTTAAGGTTGTATTCTTTGTAAATTTCTCCCATTTGAAAATACAATATGTTCAAGTCTATTTACAAGCCCATGATTATTATAGTGATGCGTAAGATCTATTAGAGATTTTTCCATCTCACGACTATAAATAAGATTAATGAGCTTATAACCCAAAATAACATAATGGGAAGTGCCCTATTCGTTATATTTGTTACTGAGAAACAAGATAAATCTACCTATTTGTTGCTGCTCCCTTGGGTGTCTAGAAACTCTATGAGGACTATGGAATAAGAGTAAGCGAAGGCTATGCCACCCATGACTTGGAAGGTGTGTCATGCTTTCTGCATTTCCATGATCGGGCCCTGCCAATGCTGATGTTGATCCCGGTTCTGCTCCTTCGATACATTTTCAAATGGCAATTTTCATATGGTTTGAGCTGCGGGTTTACTTTTATTGTGATGCTTAAGCCTCACCTTGACCTTTTCCATTGCCCAATTAATTGATGAATTGTGATGGAGGGAGAATGGGATCCATGACTAAATGGTTAAAAAATAAATCGATTTTATTTGAATGGAGAAAACCATATGAGAGCTCTTTTTGGCGATTTGAATACCCCAATTTTCTATGATAAATTGGTTTTATTTGAAACCAATTAAAGAGCTCATCAACAAAGTTGCTAAGGAGAAGACTTTCAAAGGGAGCATGAAAATCGTCAAGGGGAGAGAGAGTTAACGGTATTTTGAATACCCCTTCTCTCGTCTCTCTCTAGATCCCCTCCAAAGATTTTGATAGCAGCAATGGGCATGAGGTACCCCCTCTTTCTCTCTCTAGATCCCTTAGAGATGTTCTTTTTCTCTGGTTTCACCCCCATATGAGGAAATCCCCAAAGTGGTGTCCGATATGTCGAACATCGAACAACTCTATTATTTTGTAAAAAAATTTGACCCTCCTCATGTCCGTTATTTGCATGGTCGATTAAGAGGGCAACTTTAAAAAAAAAAAAAACTAGGAAGGAGTGGGGTGCCTTCCTCCCATAGTGTTCGTACGTAATTTCCTCTAAAACATATATTCAATTGCCTTACATAAATTGCCTTACGATCTACCGATAATTGGCCCTTTTTTATTGAGATGGTATATTATGTTTCTAACCATCCGATTTCAAATTGGACAATTTGGGTGTCTTAAACTTCGAAAATTCTTTTTGAGCTTTAAACGTAGTTAATAATATACTCAATTGCCTCCCTATTTGAAATCCGACGGACATTCTAACCAACTTCTAGGGGCAAAGGGGTGCTCTCCCATTCCTCTCTCTCTCTCCATGTCAAAACGAACTTGCTATTTGCACCATTTTGTCCATTACACCTATATCTAGAAGATGCCCTTGAGGGGGTCAAAATATGATACGAACTTCTTTGTGTCCAACACAGGAAGTGCCCTTGCAGGTTTTTTTGGAAAGAAACGGCAGATCGGTTCGGTTCGATATTTCAATATTGGACCAAACTCACGGGCGATCCAATTTCTAAGGCATCCGACTATTCTCGTGATTCGTAAGATCAACTGAAGATTTGTCCATCTCAAGATTACAAATGATATTCACGACCGTAATAAACCAAAGGAGATGTATACAGTGATACCATTCACTTTTCCCGTACAAGAAGGTAACAATTATTATTGACCACCAAATGTGAAATCCAATTGATAGGGCGGGCTGCATTATTAATTGGGCACAAAGCCCTACATGAAATTTTTTTAATGTTGAAAAACGTTTTCACATCCAATAGCTAAGAAATTTATGACCTAAAAATTTTTGTGACCCCCTTGTGCTAAAAATAAATGGTCTTATAGTATATAATCCCTAAACCAAAATCACATTTTTAAAATTACTCTATTCGTTATATTTGTTCGAGTGAAACCAAGACAAATGTAACTATATTTTCCTGTCTGGATTGAATTAACATCACAAAACAATATCCATGTACATACTAGGAGTTTGTGCCTGTTGCGACTTGGGATTGCTCCCAATACACATCACAACAACGCAGTCACAGCAAAGCCAACACCATGGCAAGAGACACCAGCAAAGTATGCAAAATGAAAAGAGAATATCCATCTAGAGAGACAAACAGACCAATAAAGTATGCTAATATAATACAAAAATACTTTCCAAAGTGGGAAGGCTCTTATTTTCTAACTATGGTGATGACCCAAAGACACCAAAGGAGTTTGCAAGAGATATGATGAAGTCAATTCTCTTATAAAGGTGCTCATAACAAAGACCCAAAACTAAGGGATTCTTCATATTACTTTCCTTTTCACAACCAACTAAAAACACCTCCACCAAGAACATTTATTAAGAAAATTCCCTTTCTCCAAAAATAGAGACGAACAAACAAAAGTAGCAAATGAAGAGATTTTAAGGGGATACAACAGGGGGGGAAACAATTCATAGAAAGATACAAGAAATCTGAATATGCTGGTTTACAAGGGTGCAAGAATGAATGAAGCTCTAAAGGTCATAACCTCTCTAAAGGATTTCAGCCTTCCATTCACCTTCTTCAACTTCATAGTAGTCATGCCTAACAACAGGCATATGTTGCACTTTGTAATGGTCTTCATTCTTTAGCCGATTCACAAACTCATCAGACATGAAATCAAGTTGCAAGGTCTGAAGGGAACTCAGGTATTGGAAGCCTTCCGGCAGTGCCTTCAGATTCTTGTAGATGAACATGCGTACTCCATGCAGGTTGGGCAAAGCACCCTTCTCTACCTCACCCCACTCTCTCAAGTCAGTTAACTTTGACAGAAGGAGATATTGAAGCTTAGGAAACCCCTCTGCGCTGCATTCTCCTATTCGCTCACCCAAGTATGCATGAGATTGGGCAAAGTTTGAAAGATACCAAATGGATCCTCCCTCAGAGAACAAAAGGTTACTTCTATAACGGTGAGGGACGAGAGGGAAGAATTAAACCAACTTGGTAGCTTCTCTAGTTTTCCCCAAAGACGTAGTTTCTGAAGAGTCCTCATTTGGGGAGACGATAATAATTCCCTCCCCTCTAAAGGACCCAGGGATTGGGAGGATATCCAAGGAACGCAACAATTTCATTTTGTGGATGGAGGCGCAGAACACCTCCCCATCTACGTCCGTCTTTAGCTCAATATTCAACGAACGAAGCTGCATCAAATTGGCCAGGTATCTGGCAAACTTTGAATCAATGGCTACATTTTTCAAAGTTCGGAGGTTAGTCAAGCCTCCAGTTCTTTCTGGAGCATTTAAGCTCTCATAGAGCCCCCATAAGACAATTTCAAGCATGTCAAACTCTTCATATTTGATATCCCACTCGGCAAATTACCCTCTCCCCTACAATTCAAGTGTAGAGTTTGGAGGCGTGTTATCTGAGTGCGATCGCCGTAGTGCCAGGTACCTAAGAAGAATGAGTTGCCCCACTTCTTCTGGCAAACGCTCAAGTTCCAAGCCTTGAAGGTCCAAAACCCTTAAAAATCTTGATCCACACAACAAACCAGGTATAACCGGGCCAAGTACTGATTCTGTTTGTATATCTTTACGAGTGAAGAAAACAAGGAATGTTCTGAGACAACATATGAATCTTGAGCTACACAACAAGCCAGGCATAACAGATCCAGGAACTGAATTTGTTCCTGTTTCTATATTTATGTCGAAAGTGAGGAACGTTCGGAGACGAGACATTTCCATGGGTTTATGGATACATGAAGCACTGCTGCTCATGGAGACTCTCCGAGTCTTTGTCTCAAGTTTCTGATTTTGGTCATCATGAAATACTCCAAACTTCTCTCTTTGCAATAAAGAAACGCCAAGTGCACGTACTACATCGTGCACCCGACATGCTTTGACTTGCCCACTCTTACCGATTTTCGTCACAAGAATCAAATTCCTATCGAGCAAGTCTTTAAACTATTCCTCAGCTACCTCCTCATCTATCATTCTTGGTCTTTTCTCTATAAATCCCTCAGCTATCCATTGCCTAACCAATTTCAAATGGGAAATCTCATAGTCCTCGGGGTATGAGCAACAATATAAGCAACAATGCTTTAGGAGAGGCGGCAAATCCTTGTAAGTCAGCAACAAAACACCCCTCACCACATCGCCCCTCACCAATTCAAAATTGGATTGATTATTCAATTTCCATTCTAGACTGCATTGAACTTGTGCCCATACTCGTGGATTCCTGTCCTTCTTAGACATCATGCCCCCAATAGCAACAATCGCCAATGGTAGACCCCCACATTTCTTAACAATGAGACTTGCTTCATCCACTAGTTCTAGGGGACATGCATTTTGAGCTTCCTCCCAAAATGCATTTTCAGAAAAGAGGGACCAAGCATCATATTTCGACAGCAATTCAAGGGGATAGACTACACTGCTTACATGTAATGGTGTAGCCACGTCTCCAATACGAGTCGTAATGATGAACCGATTGGCATTACCTGTATCTGGAAATGAAGTATACACTTCTGCCCACACCAGATCACTCCATACATCATCCAACACCACAAGGAAAGTCTTATCTACTAAGTACCCACGGAGCTCTTGTCGCAAAGAACTCACATCCATTTTCGCACACGCTCACGGTCTTTATCACTCAGAAATTGTACTAGGATGGTGCTTAAAATCCTTTCCGGTGTGAATGACTGACACAGTAATCCAAGGACGACAATGAAAATGTTCTTTAATACTGCGCCTATTATAAATTGTTTGTGCAAGAGTAGTTTTTCCCAAACCACCCACGCCAACAATGGAGATTACCTTGTGTTGTGGCTCACCTTGCAGCAACCACCCTTCTACTCTTTCCACTTTACGCTCAATTCCAATGATATGTGCTCCCTCAACCAAAGAAGAAAGTGATCGTGAATTTACAGTTGTTGTAGCCATGACATTTGAGGAGCTCGCTGCTTCATCACGTTGAATCATGGGCCAGTTCCTTCTCTCTAAAATATCAGCACGCAATCTAATATTCTGCATATTTCTTGCAAATTGGTGTTTAACTTTCACTTCCTTGACAAGACGAGGCTCATAGAAAAGGCAGCCCAACACTCCCCATCTGGACAATGAATTCATCAAGGATGTCTTCAGCATCATAGGACCAGTCTCGCACCTGCCCCACCCAAATATCCACCACTCCATCACTCTCTTTTATGTTATCAGCGTCTTTGAGGAACTCTTTCGTGATTTCAAGCTGGGGCTTGATCCATTCAACATCGGCACCAAGTCCCGAGATTAGTCGAACTTCTTTATCAAGTAGTTCACTCAATTTTCCTAACATAAACGTTACCACAGCATCAGCCATCTCTGTGTGTCTCCAGCAAAGTGCTAGTAGATTGATATGAGATCACCAAATGGTCTTCTCCGAGCAATTCACAAATTTTGCAGCATTCTGATTTTCTGAACTCTGATGCTTTGCTATGTGGCCGACCATTTTACAGAATCATGACCAAAGTGGTTTCCACCACCTGCAAATTCATCAGTTTGTATGTTTCTGATGTCATGAAGGGTTCTTGATTACTTCGAATAAGTGCACACTTTTCCATGAATTATTTTGGCTTTACAGCTGAGATTTTACGAATCTCTTCTTCCTTTACTCACATATGGAATAAGAAAAAGAGGAAACGGTTCCAAGAATTACTCTCTCTTTCCAGCTATGATTCTTTGATTTTCTCCTACTATTTGCATCAAAACTTAAAAATTGGTTACGGCCCATATCAAAATAATGAAATCTAACTTGAAAGAATAATTTCTCCTTTTGTCAAGCTCAAGCCTACATCTGGAATTGGACAAACAGAAAATGGTTCCCATGAATTACTCTCTTTTTCCATCTGTTGATTCTCTGTATTTCTCCTCCTTTTTCACTCAAGCCTTATAAATTGCTCATGGCCCGTATCGAAATAAATAAATGTGCCTTGAAAGAATGACTTAAAAAGGCACCGTAGCTTCACTCACACAACAAACCACAACAGCACCAAAACACTCTACTTTTTCTCATGGATCGAGGACCCCACCCACTCTTATCTAATGGGTGTGGTTTCTATAAGGCTGCAACCTTAAACAATCCAATTAAGGCACACCTCCAAATTTTATGATAACATGTAATTTTAATATAAAAAACTCTTAAGATTATCTGAAAATCCATTTTTATATCTAATTATAAAATTTAAAACTTCAAAAATGATTAACATAAAATATATCTATAAACATATGAAAATCTTGAAAATTGACGGTCTTAGATAATGTGTTGCAAGATGCACCATTTATGGGACTCAAAATCTTTTTTTTTTTTTTACATATTCATACATCTCAATGTCAAAATGATCAAGTAGAGGGTTTTTCAATATTAAAACAACCTCCTACAAGGGATTTTTGAGGTGCATCTATATTTCTACATTTTAAAGTTGCAACCTTATATAAACTTTTTCCTCATCTAATTCCTAAGTATTAGTGATCCTAAAAGCCTTCAAATATGCTTGATCTTAGATGGACGGTGCATAATAGATTTTTAGACAGCTGTCCAAGTAGAGCGGTCCTGATGCAGCAATTTCGCAATTTCATAATTGAAACCTTAAACAAGTAGGGTCATTTTAATAATTTTCTAAATTGATTTCTATGGGAAAAATATCATTTAAATGCTGAAATCACCTAGATGGACATACCTGAACATGTAAGTTCCATCACGCTCAGCTACCCCTTTAAATGTATGTTAAAATGACCAAACTGTCCCCATTTCAGAATTGGAAACTTGAATAATTAGGGTCATTTTGATAACTTTCCCGCAAAAAAGTAGCTCGAGCCTAACCCTAGTTGTTCAAGGTTACAAAAACTTAATAACATTTACGATTAAAAAAATAATCATTTGATAACTTTTTACTACGAACCTTGTACATTTGCAAGTATCCGTTGGGATTATACAAATCAAGTAAGGTTGGCAATGGACCCAATGGGGAGACCCAACCTCCGGTCCAGGTATGGGTCCAAATTTTGGACCCAAAAAGTTGGGACCAGGTCCGGGTCCAGCCAAACCCAACTCAAATCATATGACTTATGTTATGGCGGTATTCGTAAATGTCGCCTATACGTTGGTTTTTTAGGAATTTTTAGTTATGTAAAACAGTAAGGAATTTGGGTATATGTGGGTATTTATAATTGTTGTGCAATACCGTAAATGTTGCAAAAAATATAGATATATGATGGTAAAAAAAAAAAAGGCAGAAAAAAAAAAAAAGGGAAACTCATAGTCATAAGGTGGTAATAGACCCGACCAAACCCGGGACCCGACAAATCCAAATATGGGTCCAAATTTTGAAGGTCGGGTCCAAATCCAAAACCGAGACCCAAATACTATTCTGGTTCAAGGAGGACCCGACCGTTGCCACCCCTAAACACAAATACGACCAGATTATCAAAATGCTCTACTTGTTCAAGGTTGCAAATTATGGGTGACATCTTAAATAACCTAGTGCAAGGTGATTTAACCGTGAAATTGATATTTCACTTTTTTACAAATGGAAATGGAATCTCTCTCTGTTGCTCTCTCTCCATTGAGTCTTAAGAAGATTTTTTGGGTACCATAAGAAGCCGTTTTGTTACAACAGGATAGATCAAAAAGCAAATATTTCCAATGATTGAAGGCTCTCATTATTTTCTTTACTACAATTGCTTCACAAATTTAGGCCTTCTTTATTTTCTTTAACTAATCCTCGCATTTACGGCTGCATTGGAATACTGGCGCAAGTCAGGTATCAAGAGGTTTTCTTTCTCATATCGGCAAGTGTTTTTGTAATAATCGAATATTGGAACTTCCAATTAAGTGAAGCATGCCAATTAAATATTGAAGGGAAAAGTTTATATAGAGTCTAAACAATCAAATGAGAACCCACCTCAAAATTTTCACTAGACAAGGTTGTTTTGATGCCCAAATATCATCAATTCGACCATCTCGACATCAAGATGCATGAAAATGATAAAAAAATAAATTTTAATTTTGAAAATAGTGCATCTTGTAATGCACTTTTGGACCGTCAAAATTTTCAAGTTTTCATAGATCTGCTCAATCCATACTATTTTTTAAGCTTTAAATTTTATAATTAAAGATGAAAATATATTTTAAGGCAATCACAAAAATTTCCAGTATTGAAACCATATTTCTCGATATTGTTTGAAGGTGGGCTCTAATTTGATTGTTTAGAGCCTCGACTCTACATAAACAGCACCCAATATTAAATGGGAATCAAATTAATCCAAAATTAATGAAACTACTAGCCCTTCAACCAAAAGAAAGATTACTTTAATTTGCATGTAAACGTAGTTACTCTTATATATGTTTGATTCATCTATTTAAACAAAATATCCAGGGCACCCACGATTTAAATCCTTCTGCTCAAATTCGAATAGTCTCATTGTAGTTCTGGACTCTGGAAAACTAATTTCCAAGATATTCTTCCTTGGAAATGAACCATCTCTAGTGATTCCAAATGATTGCCCACCAAATTGGGGGAGAAATCTTCCATCACCCTTGTTGTTACCCCATTTTTAGAGAAAAAAACATTTTCCAACTAAATAGGTGCAAACTTTTATTCTCTAAATATGAATTTTCTTTAGCACCCCAACCCAGTCAGCTGGCCCTTAAAATCTAGGGCCTAAGCCACAAAATATGGCCCATGGGTCGGAGCAGGGCCGAGAAACTATGGCCCAAGGGTAGGGCCAGGGCCGAGTTTGGGCCAAGGCCGGCCCGGTTCAGCGCTCTCTTTTTATTTATTCTCTCCTACTATTTTAAATTTTTTTTGGCCCTTTGACCTAGCCCTATCTTCTTTTGCCCGAGCCAGGCCGGCCATATGGAGAATAGTCCTGGGCTAGGGCCAGGCAAGCCCAACCCGTTGACAGCCCCACCATTCCTTCTCAGTTTTGGGCAGTGGAGATGAACCATACCTCTAGTTGACAATACAATGGCGAGGGAACTGATCATCTCTGCTCATTGCCATTGAGAACAGATGGTGGAGACCTACATGTAGTATACAACAATGATCATTCGGTACAGCGGACTTTCCCAAAGAATAAATCCCTCACAAAACCATCTCATAAGGGAATGTTTACTAGGATAGAATTTGGCTTTCAAACAGTTTGCTAGCAGCTTCTCAACCATCCATTGTTGATATCAGATGGTTAAGGAGATAATTGCATAGCGTTTAAAATCTGGATGATATTGATGATTGCTTTTCCATTATATGATATGGGTACAGAACTACAAATCAAGCAGTGAAGAATACGTATACTACATGGACACCAGAGTTTCGCCCATGGAGAGAAATGAAGGAATAGAAGTATTGAACTTCTAAAGGGACAAATTGAAAGAGAAAAGGTGAAAGCTCTCAACAATAACGGTTCATTTTTAAGTGCACAATTTCACGAACATTTTCTTTAATTTCATAAAAATTAGAAAATTATATACGGATGAAGAATATCCCATGGCAAGAAGCCAAGAATACAAATTTCACAAGACAATGACAAGGAGAATATAAGGAGTATTACCTTCTTTGTCTGTTCATAAAATGACAGAGAAGCCTTGAATCAGCAACGCAGCATGCCATCAAATTGCTTTCTCAAGCCATCTTGGCAATGATAATGAAACTTTCATACCAAGTCGGCTCAGAAATACAGCATATAAAACATGCAGTAAGAACACGAAGAACCCACAGTTGAGTAAAAGCTGTTTGAAGACAGAAGGGCGAAAGAAGGGTCAGGTTTGGAGTATGGAAGAAATTTGCATGACACTAAATTTCAATTGTGGCTTCTGATGTTCTCTCTCCCTTGCGTATTTTTGTCAAGGACTGGATCCTGACATCTCTATGAGTTCAAGATGACACCCAGATAAATTTGCTGTTTGGTGGCTTCCAATTATATTCCAAAGAATTACCAAGTAGTAGAAGTGATTCTAAGGAATACGCAACATTACCAGAGTCCCAAATATTGTATATACGGCGTCCATCGATGGGATTGAGTTCATGCCCAAAGCTGCAAGCATGTAAGTGAGAGAAGCATGTATGTTTATGGTGATCTGCAAATCAGGAAAAGAGATGTCCAGAAATGATTTTCCATCTAGAAGATTAAAAAAAGACAATAGCATGAGAAATTGGAATATTTACCAGAGCAAGTATGTTTTCTCTCAACAAGAATGAGGATATCAACACATAGCCTATTGCGCCCATTGCACGAACCTACATAGAAAAAACTCTCTTTTGAGACAGAGTACGAGCATTTGGAAAGGTTGAAATAACAGAAAAAGTGGCAAGAGAGCCCTTGTTAGTCCTCCCAGGTGCAGAATCACCAGGATTGACAATATGTAAAGGAAACCATGCACATAATTACCAATCCATGCATTTTCGCAATTATATATTAGTTTGCCTCCATACAAACATCCATTAGGATTAGAACCTCTCCTCATGGTCAACTGTGCTTGACTGAGGTTCTCGCACAACGAGACCTAGGAGGAGATTCTGCAACTCCTTACGTAGTTCCTGATAAGGATAGCTCTTCTTTCTTCAGCAAGGGGCGTTTTTTGACCCAACAATATGTCAAGGAAACCACGCACATAATTACCAATCCATGCATTTACGCAATTATACATATTAGATATTAATTGGCCTCCATACAAACATCCATTAGGATTAGGACCATTGTAGGGCATCAATTCATATCATGACAGCACTGAACATAACAAAGAACTAGGCAGTTAAGTACCTAGCAAAAACATGCATCTAGATATGCTAAACAAATAACCTCATAAACCAAGAAAAAGAACTTTCAGACTCATATCTGGTCAAATTTACTTAACCATAGTACTGAATGCCACTGATTTCTAGGGAACGCACTTATCCAAGTCAAGTTCCTTTTACTCAGCACAACTTTCAGAGAGTTTGTTTACTCATCTAGAATTCAGACGAACCTGGCCATGCTCATGAAATGAAAAAGACCAAACCACTATTTTCACTAGGAAACAATACTGAATATGCTAATTTTCTTAGGATGTCTGTCCGCCATCATCAGGCAATGAAAGCACTTGGTTTTCTTTGATTTAATCACCGCCACTCAACGTCTCATGTCTCCCTCGACGATTAGGATTCTAGATTTTTTCTATATTTGGGACTCTTATGCATAAGGATTTTCAAATTAATTCGGTTGCAATATTTACACTGATGGATTTACACCTTTTTCTTCCACATTATCCTGGATCTAGATGATTTACAACTTTTTAGAAAGCACCCCACACCCACCTACTCATGCACGCACATCTGCACACTCACATATACAGGTAATTCTTGCATATAAAGTTGTCAAGAAAAGTGTGTATCGTAACAATACATTCGTCTTTTATTGGGATATTACAAAATCCGAAAAAATTTAAATCCAAAAATAAATGGATAATTCTAGGGGTTTTCAAGTTCATGTATTTCTTCAATTATGACTCAATTATGAGTCTATAGATATTACAAACTTTGGAAATATTAAATTCATTTAGGATATAGTCTTGCCAAATTCAATCAGCCTGTCTCCTATCTTTATGTCTTTTCAAAATGGAAACAATTTGTCCAAAATTAAAATGCCAAGAACATCTACTCTCCTAAATTTTCTCCTTTTGTGTCTTCCTCTCTCCAATTGCATGCCCATGCATTGCATTGCCTGTTGCATTGCATTGCCTGTACACCGGTGACAATGAATCATAGTCAAATCCCTGGTATCACCCATGATTGGCTGCCTTTATGAAAGAATTTTCAGTTAGAAATATCAGAAAACCATTGAACTCAGACAAATCTATTTACAAATAAAATGTAACATGAACATGCATTTTCAGTGGGACGTTTTGTTACCCTTAAGGAACGGCATACTCCAATAATTCTATAAATAACCCAGCAAGAAGGCAGAAGTTAATAAGTTAAATTTGAATATTTTTTCTTTGAATATTTCTCTTTGGTAATCAGTTACGAATTTATAATGGTGGAAACCTGCGACAAATTAAGTACCTCTCTAGCATATAGATAATGCCAATATACAATCAATCATCTTCTACAGAGTAAGAGCATATAAAGAACATAACTAAGATCAAATCAATCAATTTATAAAAAAAAAATTTAAGATCAAATTAATCGAGGAAAATGAGAAGAACTCAGCCCAGAGCATAAATTACCAAAAATCTTAAGGAAATTGCTAATTTTGACCATATTTCTGCTTCCCACTCAAAAACATGAGACCAATACTGCCAGGCAGAAGTTTGCCATACCCACACGGAATTTGGGAGGGAAACACGAGTGACAATAGATATTTCCAATAGCGTTTTTATAATAATTCTTAATCAAAACGCTGGCATAAATATAAAATCAAAGACTTAGCAATAGAGACTTGCCAAGGAGCAAAAGATGATGGATAATAGCCAATTAACTCCCAACCTGTGAAGAAGAAGAACATAGATCCAATTAGAGGAAATTGTGAGAAACCGATTTACTCCAAAGATGTATTCCTCTAAACCAAGAAGAATCAGGCAATGCAGTGAACAATGACTGTATTCACAGCAAGGAATAACTGCAGAAATTAAGGGTTTTTTTGTGTGTGTGTGTGTAGAAGAAAATAGAGATTGAAATGAACAATAAGTATGCAGTTTCATTGAAAATATAAAAAATAAAAAGAAATGAACGATGAGTATGAAGATCTCAAGGTAGAGTACCTCCACAAAGAACCCATGGCCAAACCAACGAGCCCATGCATAAGCTGCAGTTAATGAGGCAGTGAAGACTTCAATCATGGGTTCTGGTAACACATATCATCTAATCTCAAAGAATAATAAGAAATCTGCATGCAAAGAAAGTCGAATTTTCCTTGTTTTGACGACTAATGTGCAAGCAAACTTAGAATGTCCAAATGGAAACATAACTCCATGTGTCTCAATCTCTATGCCTAGAAAGTACTATTGGGTACAAAAGCTCAACCTGTGAGGATAATGAAGATGGTATTGCTTCAACTCAAGTTATGTGTATATAAAAGATCAGCACGTATCAAACCATCAGATGATTCATCACCTAAATCCTAAACTGACTATATAAAGTTTCAAATCTCAACTTCAAAATACAAAAGGCGCCATTTCTATTAGGATGGATGTGAATACAAATAATTTCAGGTATCAGGAGATAGAGAATATATTTCTGTGGTGCAATGTTCTTGTTTTACAGGTACTGTTACTGATTATCAGTTATGTAGAGCATTCAAGTAGGTCGTCTAAACATTACAAAGATACTTCCAGAGAATATTACAGCCCAATAAATGGACAAGATGACTAGCAGTGGAGGAAATTAGCCATAGACACAAGACAAATCCAAAAAGTATTGAAGAAAGTAAGAAAGAAACAACAAACCCTCCTAGCTAACAGGCAGTATAGCAGAACTTGGAGCAGACCATGCCCTTCACAAAGCCTAACCCCCACCCCCAACATGAAGCCTGAGCCCCAAACAAAACACTGACCTACCTTATGTATGCTTCTCTAAGCATAGTACCTAAAAAAGAAAGAAAATGGCAAAATTACATATGGACCAGATTTCTTACCCAATATTATGGTCTGGCCCATATTTTTCCCACATTTATGCGGAAACTACCCCCCTAGCCGGCTCTTCTTCTTATTCATTTTTGCTCGCCATGTCTGACATATCCAACATAGGACAGGTGGGAAATTCACCTCCCTACCCGACATTTCCAACACATGACAAGTGGGAAATTTATCATTCTATCTATTTCCTATTGCAATCAAAAAATTCAATTTTCTATTTTCTGTCTAGAATTCTCTATATTCATTTTTTAATTTTTAGAAAGAATGATGCCAAAATATTTAAAATTAATAGAGAACTTATTTTTGAATTTTTAAAATAAAATCAAAAATAAATTCTCTATTTATTTTTGAATTTTAAATTTTTCTAAAACAAAATTCAAAAATAAATTATCCATTTATTCATAAATATCTTCAAAAGTAGATAAATAATTCATTTTTTAAATGAATAATGCCAGGATACTCAAAAATAAATAGTAAAATTATTATTAAATTCATTTTACAAATTTAAAAATAAATTATCTTATTTTTCAATACTTTGGCATCAAGATTTCTAAAAAAAATTCCAAAATAAATAGAGAACTTTTAGAAAGAAAATAGAAAATAGAATTCTTTAAACTCAATAGAATAATAAAAAAAATGGAGTATTTTCCACTCGTCCTATGTTGGAAATGTCGGATAGCGAAGTGAATTTCCCACTTATCTTATGTAGGATATGTCGAAAGTGGACAAAACTAGAGAAAAAAAAAAGGGGGGAGTGGCGAAGGGGGTTTAATCTCTAGGTAAATTTGAGTAAAATATGGACAGACCGTAATATTTGGGGAAAAATCTGGTCCATACGTAATTTTGCCAAGGAACAAAAAATGCATGTTTCTCCAAGCCTTGGTGAACTCTAGGACCTACCCCCATCCTTGATCCCAAACCTAACCAAAATATATTGGCCATGGGCCCATGGCATTCAGTAACCTTCTCAAAAATGCATTATAAGGTCTTTCCAATTATTAAACAAAAAAAAAAAAGTTCCCTTGTACCCATATTTTTCTAAGGAATCCAATATCCATATGTTTTCCTCAAAAAAAAAAAAAAGCAACAACTGTCCCTTGTTTCGTTCACTTAAAAAGGGAGTCACAAAATCTCATGAATCAATCCGATCAAAACTTGAATGGAAGTGACCGAACTGTGGGAAGACTTTTTTATCCCAAAACTACATAACCTGGAATCAAACTTTAAGCCTCTTATTAGGTGCAGGGAGAAGTCATTCACAATTCTGAGGCAAAAACTTGTCAAAAGACTTACTGCCAATTATTCAATATTGTATAACTTCTTTAGCTTGTAGTGGATAATAAATTTTTTAGCACTTCACTTAAATATTCACCTCCTCTATCGGTCAATCATGGTAACACCATCCACACATAACTTACCTTTCACAAGCACGCACAACATAATGAAGTGGGGCAGCATCAAATTTGGCTGAAGCTTATGGTTGGTCCTGCACTTTCTCGTTCCTTTGGATCATCAAATAGTTAAATCAATCACAGAAGCTTTTGTAAGGGATGGCAATCATTTTGTTATCGCCTTCTTGGCAGATTATCACTATAGATCATGTTTCAGGGATTTTGCTAAAACGTCTACATGCTTTAAAGATAGCATATATATCTAAGGGAAAATTAGTAATATCCTATTTTCTCTACTATGTTGTAATTATTTCAACATATATGATTTTTTTAAGCTCATTATTTGTATGCATATGGTGTCCTTTCATCTGAGGCGGGGCCATTCAGTCCACAAAACTCATTTTCGATTCATATGACTTTGCTATGGCAGTTGGTTTAGCAAAAGCTACACCTACAGCTAGTACTACGTTCCATAAACAAAGAGGGTTAAATGATAAGAGTCCTTGGTGGCATACCAGACCCTATTCAGGAGTTCCAAATTTCAGGAATGAGGCCATTTTTTAACCTCCGTCCATTTAGAAGTTAAAAATGGCCTGTTTGTCCGGCCGCTATATTTTTGGGTGATAGGCTTTTTCAACCCCCTTGCCAAAGGGGACGCCACCAAAATGACCATCTAGGTAAAAGGAAACATGCTTTCCTCTATCCTTTTAATAGACGGGATTCACTTTTTTTTTTTGAGTAATTTACGTATGGAGACAAAAAAATAGAAAATATGAAATAGGCCAATTTTGGGCAGAAATTATGCGAAGGTCGGTCAACCTGTGTTTTTTTTTTTCAAAGTTGCCCCTCAATCCGAGGATGGATCCTCAAACCGCTTTTTATTTTTATTTTATTTTTTGTTTGAGTTCTTTCAATAGTAGGGCAGTGCGCTAGTGTGAGGGGCAGAGCCCAATCCAGAAGGCAGTCTATAGTTGGCATCTTCAAGCCGTATTATTTCTCAGCAAACAAATGAGCTAATGCAATCCGAGGAACAAATGAGCTAATGCAGTCTGAGGATGCCAACCTCAGACCACACTGAAGAGCACTAGAGAAGGCTGTCCGAGAATGGGCAGCTCGGACCGCCTCTGAATGCTTAACAAAGTCAGTCTTTGCGGTCCGAGGACACCAACCTTGGACCTCTTTGAAGAGCACTACAGAAGGCGGTCCGATGATGCTAACATCGGACCAATTGGGCACTACCACAAGCATTAGGGCACAGCCCTATTATCAAAAAAGCTCAAAAAAAAAAAAAAAATTAAAATGCGGTCTGAGGATGGTATCCTCAAACCAAGGGGAAATTTTGTAAAAAATAAAAACCTTCAAGTTGACCGACCTTCCGCATAATTTTTCCCAAAATTTACTCATTTCGTATTTTAGTATTTTTTTCTTATGTCCGTACGCAATTCACTCTTTTTTTTTAATATCATTTTAATAGACTTGTTGGGCCATCCAAATAGGACCTTCGTTTGCACTCCCATCAAATTATTGATGAAACCAAAATAATTAATTCATATAAAGGAACTCAAAACTACAAATTCCAACTCACAATAGCATCATATGAAATGCATCCAAATTCACAAGAAAAGAAGTTAATAACAGAACTTAAAGCAAACAAAAAGGAGGACTAGTTTTGAAAATGCTTACCAGGTAGGTTAATGCCTTTACTGGGCCAGATAATGTAAGCAATAACATCGCAGTTGCCACCTGCTTAACAAATTGGAGCGAATATAAAGCATACATCACGCAGATAAGTATCACATTCCATTGAAAAAATGTTGGCTCTATGGAAAGAGCAAAAAGGTACCATCCCATTAAGTGGACACAGATTTGTATGCTGAAACTAGAGGTTGCAGTAGGTCTTATAAAGCATATTAGAACCACCAGAGCCCCTCCATGATCTGGAAAGAAAGACTTGGTTTTGTGAACAATATAAGGCAAAAGGTAAGCAGTGGCTGAAATGCTCAATTCGGGCTAGACTCCTGGATTGGGAGAGATCCCCAGTTTAAGTTCTTCCCAACTATTTTCTTCGGCCATTAGGAGTGAAACAACAATGGGAGAGATCATTGAAGGGTCTGGCCACTCCATGGTTTGGACCCATGTCCAAGAAGACCATTGAAGTCAGACAAGATTGAGGCTTTCAAAAAAATGTGCAGCTTATGTTCAATACCTTCTTCTCGCCTACAGTGGAGGATAGACTCATATGGGCACCAAAGTAGAGGCAAGTTCTCAGTTAGGCCGATTTGCAAATCATTACTTGGAGTGGCAAGGTTAACTCAGCTGCTAGAATTGTGTGGTTCATCCCAGGCCCTCATAAGACCCAGGCTTTGCTTGGCTGACAGTGCTATGCAAAGCCAAAACCGAAACAGTAAGTCACATGTATCTATGATGTTTTTTTACATGACAAATTTGGACGTTCTTCTTGTGATAATTTGGCTTGGTCTGGGTCATTGTGGATGCCTTACTCTCTCAATAGTACTCCCCAGCACTCCCGAAGATGGATTTAAGCTGTGGTGGCTTACCTCGTTGGTAGTCCTTTGGCTGCTGAGGAAAGATAGGAATAAGAGATGCTTTAATAACAAAATTCAAGAAGTGGCAAGTACCAAGGAAAACATACAAGCCACAGCCATTTCGTGGGCAAGAACCAGGAAGGAGTTCTGGGGATGACCAATCAACAAATTTGAAACAAAGTGGAAGAAGATTGCCACATCAAGGGTAACCAAGGAAAGCCAGACCTAACCAGTGGCCACCGCCTCCTGAAGGCAGAGTCAAGCTGAACTTTGATGGGTGCTCCAAGGGGAACCCGGGTTCAGCAGGGGTTGGGGGGGTATTGAGGAATTGCCAGGGCATAATTCTCAATGACATACTTTGGGCCTCTACTAAACTATTCCTCATGCAAAGCAGAGGTGATATCCATGTTAACTAGGGTTAAAAGTATGGCTATGAGGCAGAGTGGCATTATAGAAGAGGGAGACTCTATCAATGTAGTTGCGGGGGGCAGGTGGAAAGGAATCATGTCCCTGGAAGCTACAGAATTTCATCAGAGAAATTTGGAATCTTGTCATGAAACTAAAGGCCACCTTTACTCATACAGGTAGAGAGTCTAATGAAGAGGCAAACAACCTTTCAAGACAAGGATGCCAAACCAGGAGTTGACACATACCATCTTTGAAGTGGCCGGGGAAAATTCATTCCAACTTTGTAGAGTGTAGTATATATATATACTCATTTTCATAAATGGGGAATAAATATACTTGTACATCATTTTTATTAATAGAAATACCCTTAAGGGAAAAAAAAATTGTTGGCTCCTCTAATACCTTTCTATGCATGTAAAAACACAAGTATGTGATTAGAAACATACCATGGTTTTTCTTCCAGCTGCAACACCCCATCGCATTGAGGATATTACAATCGGCAATGAGAAGAAACAACCAAAGTAATTCTGGAAAGGGAATATATAGTATATATGTCAGGTAATGTTAACTTGCATAAGCAACCATAAAATATAAACCACATGCTAAAGTGAATGTATATTTTTTCTTGTAAGTGATAAAAGTGATATAAATTAAATTGGAATAAAAAAATTAACAGTTCTTGGTTTCATGGTTATTAGTTCTTTCCATATTACTCCTTTTAATCCCATTTTCGTAAATTTTTTTTTTTGTTTCATGAATCAGAATCCTCCTAAAAAGCTGAGATGAAACCAAGAGAGTTGCAAGTTTACAAAATGGCGACCTAAAAGACTAAGACTAAACTGAAGAAAAGCTTCAAAGTTTACAAAAGGGGGCCCTATAAAACTAAGATGAAAACAGATGAGAACAATTTCAGAAATGGAAACCTTTAAAGCAAGTAAATTCCTCAGAAATACCCAATTCTACACAGATAAATAAACAAATAAAAGGAATTAAATCTGGAGTCAGTAAAAATACCCATTTTCCACGATAAAGAAACAAAAAACAACAATCGCATATGAAAAAGCTTAAAAAATTGCTGAAAATTTACCTCAATGGCAAGAGAATTGCTGAGAAAATAAGCCAAACCTGCAACAGCTGCAAACATTGCGCACTCCACTAGTCTTAGAGTACTCTGGAAAACTTCTCTTTCCTCTTCTACATCCTCAAACTCCATCAAAGCTCCACCATCTCCATGTACAGGAATTAGGGGTTCTTTATGGCCAGGAGCTTCTCTTTCAGCGGCTGAATTAGGATTTTGGAGCTTCCTCTTATAGAAAAAATGGGGGAAAGAGAGGGAAGAGAAGTCATTTTTGTGACTGTGAAAGGAATTGGACTTGCGGAAAGCTCTTGAGGCGGAGAAGAAGACCTTTGGAAAATGGAAGCTTGTGGGGAAATTGCAGAGAAGAGACATGAGGTTCTCTGCTCAACGTTCGCAGCTTTCAGAGTGCATTTCCAGCCCTCTCTCTCTCTCTCTCTCTCTCTCTCTCTCTCCTCTACTAGTTAGTTTACGTTCGTTACGTACGTACGTAGTACGTCGTCCGTCGTACGACTACACTACCGTACTACGTACTACTAACTA